CTTTCTCTAGTTGTCATAAGTGTAACAGACCCAACTTTTCTGTGAAAATTCTTGGTTGCTGTTTCTTCGGTTAATCAAGAAGAGGTGCATCAGAGCTGAATGGTATCTGATCCACCTTAAACATTGTCCTCATTTGGATCCATCCTGGGGAGTTCCTTGCAATGGGCTTTTATGTCAATTTTATCTGAAGGCAAAGATTCCTGATTTTAAAATTTCTTCTGATCATACACGATCAAACACTGTAAAGGTCCTAGGGAACCACGTGTATCTTCCAACTTCGTTACTGAAGTTATCAATTAGAGCCCATTAAGAAGAAATTTTATATACATAAAGTAAACCTCTACCAATTTTATATATAATAAATATTGCCAATCTAAAGCTTTTGTAAAGAATATCTACAAGGCAAAATGCTTGTAAAATGATACATGCTGTGGGCTGGGCGTGGTGGCTCACGCCTGTAATCCCAGCACTCTGGGAAGCTAAGGTGGGAGGATCGCTTGAGGTCAGGAGTTTGAGACCAGCCTGGCCAAGACCAACCTGGCCAACACCGTGAAACCCCTTCTCCTAAAAATACAAAAAAATTAGCCGGGTGTGGTGGTGTATGCTTGTAGTTCCCGCTACTCAGGAGGCTGTAGCAGGAGAATTGCTTGAACCCAGGAATTGGAGGTTGCAGTGAGCCAAGATTGCACCACTGCACTCCAGCCTGGGCGACAGAGTGAGACTCCATCTCAAAAAAAAAAGACACATGTTGTGGAATGTGATGCACACTCTGACACGCGGCAGCAGAGTGGAACAGTGACATTCTAAAGAGTGACTCCTACACGAGACACCTAAAAAGAAGTCCCAGGAAGTTAGCAGGTCCTACAGAACACGACTCTGGTTTCCTCAGCACTTGAATCCAGCTCTTGGCAGGGCCAATATTGACAGCAGAGTCACCCAACACTTCCTTCAGTTATCGGTCAACAGAGACTTCTTGGCTAAATCAAGAACGTTACTGCTTCCTTTGTTTCTTACACATGTCACTTTGGCAGTCACTCTGTTCAACAGACACTACTGCTGCTTCCATCTGTCAATGCAACTTTGGGAAGAGAGGCTCAAGGATGAGAACCAGAATATATACATAGATGTACATGCGCATACAGGCATATCCACACAAAAATACACACCCAACTAGGGAAGTAATAATTAGGTGTCGAGTTTCACATTGATCTTCCGGTAAATTTTACTCTGAGTACTGCTGATTCAGTAAGGAACTCCATGCTGGGGAGACAAGCCTGGGACAGCAATGATGTTTCATTTGTTTTTCCTCTAGTCATCAGTGCCAGAAATCCGCCCCCACACCCACTTCTCAAAAATAATCACAAAGTCCTGTGAAATCTCTTTCGTATATCTCTCATTCATTCAACGACCGAGTGACCACTTTGTCCTAGAGTTAGGGATACAACAGTAAACAAGACTGATGTGGTTACTGCTCTGCCCTCGTGAGGCTTATGGTCTAATGGAAGATGGGATTAAGTGGAGGGGCAATCTCAACCCGCCCAGATAATCGTGTTGGTAGGGATTAATTCAGGGTGCTATGAGCTCACGGAAGGAAGGAAGGACACTTACTCAGACGTAAGGAGGGTGTCAGGGTTTTCCGAGAGGAAAAGTAGCTAACCTTTGAATCTGTGTAATCGCTTTATTCCATTAACGCAGCCTTGGGTTAGGACCTTTTTCCTTGCCTGGACAACTGTCTTACTCTTCTAATTGGTCTTTCTGCCTTTAACCTTACCTTTGCTGGAAACCTTTATTCTCAAGATAGAAAGCAAACTTCACAGACTGGGGCTCTTGTGGTCTCAAGCCACATTTATCTTTCACCAGACTTCTCCATGCTTTCACACCATGCAGAAGACATGCAGAACCACTCCCATTTCCTACAATGTGCTATGCTCACCTCCATCTGCCTAGGTTACTGCTTCCCTTATTTCTTAAGGCTAGCTGAAGTTTACCTTTGCCGGGAAGCCTTTCCGGACCCCTAATCTGGGATAGCCACTTACTAGGATATATATTTTGAAGTAACTATGGACAACATAGACAGTGTGATAATAAGTATGTGCTACCTAGCTTGGGCTTCAAATGAGGGATGGTCAGTGGCCCAATCTCAGAATCTGTATTTCAGGAGAGGCCAGCTACCATGAACTCCACAAGGCGGCTGCTAAGAAAAGCTCCTCAGCTATTCACACATTCACCAACACTACGACTTGGCTCAGTAGCTAAAAAATGGAAATATTTTTATTGGAGAAAGTAATGGCCTGTAAATCACCACAGTGAATACTGGAAATGGACTCTCACTGATAAAGTAAAAGGTATTTGAGATGTAGACTGAATAAAATATTGTAGAGATAGTCCCAACTTTTGCATAAAGCGGGAATAAGTCTGCATCTGGTCACAAAGGAATGCTGCCCGGCTCACTTGTGTCCAGGCATCGGGCTGGGAAGCTTCTGTTTGCCTGATGCTGATTCTAAGAGGAACAGAATCCTGCTTCTGTGATGTTGTCTCATCTCTGACAGAGGTCAGACACCCAAAATGACAAAAAGCTGGGACATTACTAAGTTTGGAAAACAGGTTGCATGGTCCTATTTCAAAATGAGTGTTTATTTTAAAAATGCCCATATACACGGCAGAGCTGGCTCTCGCTCCAATGTGATAACAACGTTGTGGGGGAGCAGCTCACCATTCCTCAAAGTTCTTCATGGAGCTTTCTGCCATAAAGAACGTAAGAGCTGCACTAAGTGAGTTTGGTCATCTCAAAACAAGGACTTTCCTTGGTGCCTTCACAGAAGAACCCTGTGCACTTCCCACGGCATGTGTCAAGTTGTATGGTAACTGTCAGATGGCCTGTCCAGTTTTCTCAATAAATGCTGAGGTCTTTGAGATCAGGATTGTATTTCTCATCTCTAGTGCACTGTTTATTTCAGTAACTGATGTAAAGAAATATAGCTGGCTGGGCGCGGTGGCTCACGCCTGTAATCCCAGCACCTCGGGAGGCTGAGGCGGGTGGATCACGAGGTTAGGAGACTGAGACATCCTGGCCAACATGGTGAAACCCCATCTCTACTAAAAATACAAAAAAACTAGCTGGATGTGGTGGCGGGCGCCTGTAGTCCCAGCTATTCAGGAGGTAGAGGTTGCAGTGAGCCAAGATCGCACCACTGCACTCCAGCCTGGGTAACAGAGTGAGACCCTGTCTCAAAAAA